GAAGGACAATGCCAGAGCTCGCAGATGCTTCCACAAGGCATTTGAACTGTCAACCTCTCAGATTGAAGCCGCTGAGCGTCTTGCCAGGGGCTTTGCCGACTCGAAAGAATGGGACCTTGTCGAAGCAATTGCGCAGCGGGTGGTTGACTCCGGCAAGGCTAGGCCTTCCCCTGGGTCAAAGCGCCGAGGGTTCAGCTGGCCATATGCGGCACTGGGGTCTGTTCAGGTTAACAAGCAGCAATACAGCAAAAGTATCGTGTCCTTCCAAGCAGCGCTTCGACTCGCGCCAACAGATTACCACTCATGGGTCGGTCTTGCCGAAAGCTATCACCACTCCGGTCGATACAACGCTGCCACCAAGGCCTTTGAGCAAGCACAACTATTGGAACCTGAGCTTTCAGATAAAGACAAGGAGCATGTATGGTTTGCCAGGTATATGCTGGCAAACGTCAGGCGAGAACTTGGCCAGTACGAAGACGCTATCGCTGTCTACAAAGATGTCCTGGAATCCCGCCCTGATGACATTGGTGTGACTCTCGCGCTTCTTCAGACCCTGACTGAGAGTTCGACGAAGAGCCTTGGCCTAGGTCTCTTCAATAATGCGGCAGAGCTCGCATACCAGGCTATTTCGGTGGCCACCTCTCTGGCACTGAACCAAAGCGACATTTTCAACTTGTGGAAGGCTGTAGGCGATGCCTTCTCCAACTTCTCATACATGAAGGCCAAGGCTGTAAAGCTGCCTGCTTCCAGTTGCAAGACTTTATTGGCAATCGATCTCGACCCTATGGCCCTTGATGTTATGACCGATATCGATGGTGTCGGAGCTGATTGGCTCGCGGCCAATGGAAGTGAAAAGTCGATGCCATCTGAATTCTACATTCACCTGTCTATAATCGCATTTAAGCGTGCGCTCCATGTCTCTGTGCGTGACGCTCATTCTCAAGCAGTTGCCTGGTACAACCTTGGTTGGGCTGAATATTTGGCCCACCGCACTGTGCAGCCGGACCCTACCAAGAAAGGCAAGAAGCCTCGCAAGTTCCTGAAAGCAGCCATGCGGTGCTTCAAGAGAGCAATTGAATTGGAGGCGGGCAATTCCGATTTCTGGAACTCATTGGGTGTCGTCACTGCAAGCATGAGTCCCAATGTCTCCCAGCATGCGTTTGTGCGAAGTCTGCATTTGAATGAACGCAACGCGCAAGTTTGGACCAACCTCGGAGCACTCTACCTCCTCCACAAAGAAGGCCATCAATCCTACAAAACCTTCTTGCGCGCGCAGGCCACCGACCCAGATTACTCACTGGCTTGGGTCGGCCAAGGCTTCGTTTCACTTAGTGTTCGCGAGACGCAGGAAGCGAGGGGTTATTTCGAGCATGCCTTTGATCTCTCAAACTCGTCCGATATTCTCACTAAGCGCCAGTTCAGCCTGACCCACTTTGATCATCTTAATGAGGCCTCCTCCTCTAACGTGTCCGAACTAATTCAGCCATTCTTCGCACTGCACCAACTCTGCATCCAGGATCCGTCTAACCTCCCCTTTGTGCACCTTTCCGCCCTGTTGGCAGAGAGAATGGGTGAGACCGCTGATGCCGAGTCTAGCTTGCAGGTTGTGTGTTCAGGCATGGAAGACGAGTTCGAAAAGACCGAGTCGCCAGCATCCCTGTCGAGGTATGCCCAAGCAAATGCAGATATGGCTCGCGTCCTGCTTGCACGCCAATCTTATGAAGAGGCCGCGGAGAAGGCCGAGCTCGCGCTCACCCTCTCTGGGGAGGAAGACGCGGAGAAATTCGATCCCGAAGCCTGCAAGAAACTTCGTCTGTCTGCGCATCTGACTGCTGGTCTAGCATATTACAACCTAAAGTCTATGGACCAAGCCATCGATATGTTCCGTGATGCCCTCGAAGAAGCAGAGAATGCTCCAGATGTTGTCTGCCTTCTTGCTCAGGTCCTGTGGGCCAAGGGCGGGGAGGAGAATCGGTCTGTTGCTCGCGAGCAGCTGCTCGACTGTGTGATGAATCACCCTACCCATATCGGAGCAGTCACTCTTTTGGGTGCCATTGCTCTCCTCGATGCGGATCGGGACGCCATTGAAGCAGTTGAATCAGATCTTAACAGCATGATCTCGCGCGATGACATCGATCTCCACGACCGAGCTAAAATCATCAAACTCCTGAGTGCCATCTCAGCAATGGGACTCAACGAGAATGCAACCGTCCCTGAAAGCATCAGGCGCATTGGCGATGCCACCGCTGCCGTGATGCTTACACCCGGCCAACCTGCTGGCTGGATGGAGTTGTCCGCAGCGTCGCGAAACCCGTACCCAGCCGCCATGGCTATCAAACGCGCTCTGCGGAGCGTGCCTCCTTACGGTAATCTCGGGGCTGAGGATCTCAGCCAAGCCTACTCGCAAACCGGCAAGGTCGGTGACGCCTTCCGAGCGATCATGATTGCCCCGTGGAAACGCAATGGATGGGAGGAACTGAGCCACAATGTACCTACCCAGAACATGTGGACGCGTTGTACAGGCCACGGACCGGAGTGATCGGACGAGGTGACGGCCCTGCCACCTTCAAACGCCGTACAAGCCTGCGAAGGCCGGGTCAAGTTGATGCACAGTGTATTTACTTTAACTGCACATCAGTCTTCTTAGCGAATGGACATGAAAACATCCAATTCAATGCAATAAATATACCCATGATAGACTAAGAGAAATGCAAATTCCATACCTTAATAGTAGGTGCGAAGTAAAAGAAGCACACTCCGCCATCTGTTCAGCTGTTTAAGCCCACAATGACTTGTCTCTTCTTATTCTCTCTCCACGCCTGCAGTCTTCTCCAGCAACCTAGCCTTCCTACCCTCCCTCCACCGTTTGTTCAAAGCCTCGATCTTGCCCCCGAGCAAATTAACAGATCCCGGAGAAAGCAGCACCATACCTCTCGCAACAGACGGATTACGGAGCAAGAGCTTCGCCCCAATAGCAAGTTTCTCCAACGCTATCCCGTCAATACGCTGCATTTCAACACCCATGACCATAGTTCCGGCTGCATCCTGAAGAATCAGGCGGTGCGGGCCATACCCACTGTTCCCGGATGCACTCGCAGCACCGTTCGCAGGGTTGTTATTCGCGCGATTGTTCTCCAACGCCTCGGCGTCCTCGCCTACAGCTATTGTGCGCACGATCTCACGGCCGCGGATTGCCTCGCCGCGCTCAACGCGTTCAATCGCTTCGATCTGGCTCCATAGACTCGTGCCGATGTCTTCAATGTCTAGCACTTGCACGGGGATGGAGCCTTGTAGCCGTCGCTCTTTGACGGTCGGGTCGTGGATGTCGACTGGTAGCACGCACGATCTGTGTTTGGAGAGTGATTCTCTGATATCAGAGGCGAGAAGACGAAATATAGCCGTTTTTGCGAGAGCCGAGGCGGGGATATTGCGTTGGGCTGTGCTGGACGATGATAGGAAGGCATTGAGCCAGGTTTGGGAGACTGAGAGGGATGTTGTGCTCAGTATCTGAGCTGCAATTTGATCAGGACTAGTCATGATGTCTTGGACTCTCGTATGATCATATTGGCGCGTATGATAAATGAAAGAAAAGCAGCGAAGTTGGAGAAGCTTTCAACGCGAAAACAAAAGCACAGACCACCGCTTAAAGCAATTGACCTGGCCCGACTCTCTTACCTCCGACGACTCCGACACACCTCTCTCTAACACACTGCAATGTCGACTATTTCATCCCCACGTCCGTCTATTGCCTCCTCCCGAGCCCATTCCCCGGGCCCAACCTCCTCCCGCCCATCACTCGATGTCTTGAACACCAACGTCAGCGGGGGCCTCAGCGCCGCATCTACCCCATCCACTGCACGTGCTCTCTCTCCCTCACTCCATCCCCGACGCAATCGCAGCGCCCTGCGAGACTACTACAACCTCAAACCGCCCGGTGCGGACGTATCTGCCTCCCGAGACGTATCTCGCTCTCGGAGTGTGCCGCGGAATACTGATGCAGGAGACATCTCCGACCCAAACGCTCCATCGTCGGGAACGGAGCTTGACAGTCCAGACTTTGACCCGCAGCGGTATGTCGAGCATCTCTTGTCATCGTCATCGCTATCTACGGTGCTCAAAGCGGAGAACACGTTGGTTGGGGATATCCGCACTCTCGACGGAGAGCGGAAGGCACTAGTCTACGATAACTACTCGAAGTTGATTCGCGCCGTGGAGACAATAGGGAAAATGCGGCGTAGTATGGATGATCGCGGTGCGCCATTGACTATGACGAAAACGCTTGGTCCGGCGATTGCTTTTGTTGCTGAGACTGCTGGTGGGCTCATTAAGGAAGGCGAGGAGCGGCGGCGGCAAATGAAGGAAGCGAAGGCGGAAGACGGGGCTTCGAGTCGGAAGAATGAGAAAGATACTGTTCGCTGGGTAGTTGCTTCACCGCAGAGATTGGAGAAGCTTGTGGCGCAGGGTAAACAGGAGGATGCTGAGAAGGACTGGAAAGAGATCCAGCGTCTACTCGATGCTTGGAGTGATGTCAAGGGGGTCGCTGAAATTCGGGCAGCGTGTGAGAAACTCATGAACCGGGCAAGTCACGATGACTGAACACGCGCTTAAACACTTTTGTTCCGCCATATTCCATGCGGTTGGGGCTCCTCAGATACGGACTGCTGTTGAGGTGAGGTATCACTTCTGACTGGGCCGATAGCTGCGGCCATGAATGAGCCGGCTCATTCATGAAGAAAAATCCTTCCTGATCCACGCAAGAAATGATCAATGGATACCTGCCTTCAGCAGGTGTCGAGAGGACACCCCCATGGAACCAGCGCTGCCCCCGGCTTCTGGGAATGCCTTGAGCATACAGCCCATCCTCTGCCATGGTCCGGAAACACATCAAGTATCATAAATATGTAGATTCCTGCGTTCAGAGATACCCACTACAGCAACACGTTAATCGTTAATCATATCCCCATTAATCATGAAGAAGCCCACGAAGCCGTAATCCCCCTCTACTTCCCCTCGAGCATCTCACGACTCGAATACATACTCGCCTTCAGCCCATACTCATTCTTAGAGCTAATCTCCAGATGAGTGAACGCATCAGACTTGTAGTAAATAGACCGGGGCCCCTTCCCAACAAGCCCAAGATTAACCAACTTACTCACAACCCGCTTAACATCCTTAACATCTCCAAAATCATCCGTATAAACACAAATCAAACGACTCTCTCCACCCCCATCATTAGTAGCGACTTTCGCCACATCCCCAAGCTCCCCCTTCTCCATCGCTCTAACAACCACCCCCCAGAACTCATCAACGCGGTCGACAGTCGGAAAAAGCATCCACTTCCCACCGGTAACACCAGTCTCCCTCGCCAGATCCAGAATCCCCTTCTCAAGCTCCTTGCGCATCGGATTCAATTTACGAGTCAAAGCAGCCGTAGTCTTCGCGCCAGACTTATCATGCGCCTCGCGCAGCATCGCACTCTCATTCTCATACTCCTGGAGAATCTCCCTTCCTTTCCTAAGCAGAGTGGGAACATCCCCACTCGGCCTCGGCGGCATATGCGGATTGTACATCCAGATCCAGGGGCCTACTCTCGCGGATTCTGTTGTTGAGGGCGGAAGACGCGATAAAAAGCGAGCTATTGGCTCGGTCTTCCCGCGCTGGTTGCTCGGTATACTGTCTGGTTCTGGGGATGCATCGTCCATAGAAATGTCTGATGACGCGGCCTTTGCGCGCGTCGGCGGAGCGCGCAGATGCTGCTGGATGGTTGATAACAGCTTCTGGTGGGTTTCTACCCAGAATGGCCCTGGATCGTAGGATGAGACTTGGGATTCCAGTTCTGCCTTCCCATCATCATCGCCTGATTCAGGTTAGCTTGGGTTCCTAAGTCGGTTGGAGTATGGGACGGGGTTTACCGTAGAAGCTTGATTCGTCGGAGAATATTTCATCGGCTATTGTGCTTGATGCCATGGTTTAGGCTGTGCTAGATGATAATATGATGTTTTGTGGTTCTTGTCGAGATGTAGTTGGAGATGTGGAGGAAGTAGTTGAGTAGAGGTGGACGCGATCTGATAAACAGCCCGCATTTGAATTTCCCAACTGCCTTCTACTGCCTTTCCAGTTCACCAATCTATGAACGGAAATATTCTTTTTAAAAGTCAATGGGAAATCTCTTTTAGTCCAATACTATGTTCTTATTTCTTGCACCGAATACATTCATCGGTCATTGCTATAACATCACACATTCCTTTATGCAGGAGCTAGTCACAGCGTCTTAATATATCGCAACTTCAGGCAACTCATTTATACTAACACTTACCCTTCTCTGCTGGATCGATCTCAACTTATTCGGCTCCGGTAATGCCTGGCCACACCTGGTCAACGAACTTGACCAGGTCCGCTTTCAATTCATCAGGCCGCTCTAGTGCCGCGAAATGACCACCCTGTAGCAAACCAGCGTCAGTTCCAGAACCCGGTTCCTTTAACTGCCAGAATGCGTACCTTCTGGTGCTGCTCCCAGAATACCAAGTCTCCAGTAGTTTCAATCCACGAGCGTGGCAGCCGAGCAAGCTCCATCGGAAAAGAAGAAAATCCAAATGGCTTGTGTATATACCAACGGGGGTCATTGGAAGCTGGAATCGGTGGCGGAGGATAGCTCTATTTATTCGCATCAGATATCTGCTTTTGGAAGTCGAAAATCATAGGCAACTCACCTGTCGATAAGTATAGATCGCTCGAGGGAACGTCTCCGTAAGCCAGTACAAAGTGACAGATTCCAAAATATCATCCGGGGCAAGCGGATCGTCGGCCCATTCCAGGAATTTTTCTCCAATCCTGCGCGTGTCAGTTTTGCAGTTCCTGTCAATGTCAACTAACTTTGCTTTGCCCGGCTCACCACGCTAGTAGAGCGATTGGGCTCGATGACAAGACGTGTCCGATGGTGCTGGGTCGAGTGCCATGCTCCATCGCATAGCCGGCGCCCGCAGTCGCGAAGTTCGTCATCCTCTTAACGCCCTCTATCTCAAAGGCATTCAGGTGGTCGTCCGTCATGCCGTCTGGCTTTCTCATGAAAACCACGTTGACTAGCTTATATTGGCATTCTGGGCATTGGATAACCTTCATGAAGAAAGTACTTACCGTGTACAGCTATACGGCAACATGTCAGAAAAAGCTCAATTCTCCTATTAGGAATCATGAATGTTCCATACCTTTGCAGCTCTCATGGTCCGCGCCCAAGTGTCTGGCAATCCGACTTCCAATGTCACCTCCCTGGGCAATATATCCGCTTCCAAAGCCGAGGTTTTTCATTAATTGATCCAACACGCGAGCAATGTCACCTGTTCCAAAGTTCGTATCCAATGGGGGTCCAGAAGAAAATGCGTAACCTGGCAGCGAAGGCACAATCAGGTGATAAGGCAAGGTTTCCGGCGTGTACTCCTCTCGGAACCTGTGTAGTATAGGCAAAAACTCGAGGAAGCTCCCTATAATACGGTATGTCAGCTTCATACATTCCAAGGTGGTTATCTGCTTGCTATCAGATTAAGGCCAAGATATAGACCTACCAGGCCATCCATGCAACAATAACAGAGGAACACCATCCTTCCTTTTCGAAAATAACCCTACAAAATGAACTGTAAGACCTTCCACCTCCGTCGTATACTGAGGGAAACTATTGATTCGATCCTCGGAGGATTTCCTAGTATGACAATTCAGTCCTGCATCGAATATCATGCACCGTGGTGTCATTACCAGTTGTAAGACCTCAGCCACTGATCCCGCATGGTCACTAGCCAGTCTGTAGAGACACCATAGCGATGGTCTGTTTGGGAATTCTCGTAGGTGGGCGGTGCGAATTTCGCTATCTTTATCAACGTCTCGAGCTCATCAAGTTTGGCGTTGGAAATGTTGGCCTTGAATGGTGTGAGGGAGGCCGTCGCCGTAGAGGGCGGGGTACTGAACGGCAATGACATTGCAGAGTAGATGCTTTTATCCTCCAGGGTTGGATGTCGTTGGATAGTTAGTTAACTACACTTTTTTATAGGCCTCGGCCCTTAGGCAACCGCGTCATGTGCGGGGTTCCTACCGCAGGACTTCGCGCTTACAAACGCTTTTGGTTCTGGATTTGGATGTACTGGGTTGAAGGAATTGATCAGACCTCTAACATATACACATTTCATTTTCTATCTCAAATGTACCTGTCTTAATCAACCTTGCTAAAGTACTCGTGTCACAATAACGACTTTTGAGCTCGTTCAGACGCATTTTATCAATTATGCGAATGCTTAAACTGAAGCTTCAGGAATTTCGGGCGTGGGCAGGGTATCCAACCAACGCCAGGAAATCACGGCCTGGAGGAGGCAGGTAATAGCTGGACCGGGTGAGTAACTTGAATACGTTATACGTTATTAGACGATGCGACTCACCTAGTGCCACAGTCATGTAAAAGAAGCCAACTCCTTCAAATAGTGAGCCGGTCAACAAAGGCCCGAACATCATACCGACACTATATCCCACTTCAGTCATGGAAAAGACTCGGAGGTTGCTTCTGTTGGCCTCGAATAGATGCGGGTCTTTAGCTTCCATATCCTTGACAACATCTGTATTGATCCAATCACATTTGTTAGTGGGAGAATGGACAAGATGAACCAAAATGAAACTACTCACAGGCTAGTTGCACGGCTCCTACGCCGCGCACAAGAGGTAGAATACTACCTAAAGCGATCAAACTGCTGATAAAAATAGACTTGCCAGCTGCAGGTCCTCCGGCCCACGGGAAGTGGGAGTCTCCGGGCATCCCTAGAAGCAGGAGTAGAGGGATCATCGCCAGCCAGCCGAAAACGGTAGGTCCCCGTATTCCGATCCGATCACGAAGCCATCCGGAGGGGCCGCTGAGAATGATATTTGGGACTTGGAGACAGAAGAACATCATACTAATTAGTAAGCTCTTCCAACCGAATGCTTGCCTGAGGTGGACGGGGAGAGTGTTGTTAATGCCCGACATGAGCGAGGAGACAACAACAACGTTGGCTAACGCAGTCAAAACACGGGGTTCGGAGAGCATAGCTCTGTAGTATTCCTGTTTAAGGCCATGCTTGCTCTCCAATCCAGAGTCATCTGGGCTGGCCGTAGGCGGTGCATCAGAGAGCAGAGCAGTCGATTCTTCTGGACCGCCGTCATTGCTGGGAACTGATGTGCCAGTACATTTGCTTAGAGAATCAGTCTTTGAATATCCGACGCCAGGCTCAATCATGACCAGGCGGGCAACGATATCCAAGACAAGTACAACCAACGGAAGTGACCAGGCGGCCCAGTAGCCAAATAACTGGAGTAACGCGCCACTCACTGTTGGTCCGCCGACAATTCCTGCAGTTACAAAGGACATGGCCGTTCCCATTGACTGTCCGACGTGTTTCTTGTCCACATTGTTTGCCAATAGAGCAAATCCAACCACCCAAGTGGCGGCACCTGCCATAGATTGCAGGATGCGACCAAGGAAGAGGAGCCAAACTATTCACGGTAATCAGCTTCAAAGAGTCGTCATCAAGATTAGAGGTAGACGTACCAGATGGGGCGAGAGCAATCATAAGAGTTCCCATAAAACATCCTGCCAGAGCGATCAAGAGTGGTTTCTTCTGGCTCGGAGTCTTCTCGGCAAGGTGAGCGACAATCGGAGCAGAGACGAGACCAATGAACCCATGTGTGGCGAGCAATGCTGTGGTGTACGTCTGAGTTTGCGATGCGTCGAGATGCAGTCGTTCTTCAAGCATGTAACCCAAGATCGGAGTAAGAAACCCGTAGAGAAATGTCTCTGATGGATTGTTAGTCTGACTCAGATGTGAGAGAACCCTGGAAGCCCTCCGGGGCTGGAGTTAACAACACATACCTGCGAATAAGGCAACAGTGATGGATGAAACCACCAGAAGCCGAGATGAACGCCATCTATAGCCCCATGGCTTTGTATCGTCCATTTTAATATATTGAGAGCTTGACAAGAGAAGGAAGAAAAAGTGGGGGCCCAGAGAAGGAATTAGTTAAGTACTCTTTTCAGGCGGTAGCAAATGGAATATCATTGCATTAAGCTAGCTCATGGAGATAAAATAATTGTCGATTTCTTTTACGAGCCTTGCAGGTTTACCTCCTCGCTCTTACGCTGTTGACGGGTTTCTATTGGTGATGAGTCAATTCAGATCGTCCTTGCGCCTTGGCCGAACATCGTGATCAACGCCTCAACGCACGTCCAATGCACCTCACTGCACCTAGTACATCCTCAATGCATCTACGGAGTACAAGCAAGTCAATACAGAAACAAGAACTTATGTGTCACAGTTAGAGTTCACATCCTTTGTTGCAGATCCCAAGTCTTATGTACATACAGTAGTGCACACGCACTCTGCACAAGTATGCCAAATGAAACTTCAAGAGCCTACATTTGTATTTTAACACATCAAGATTGATCTACTTACCCCGTGAGTCTAGAGCTAGCATTACGCCAATCTGCGAATGAGTCTAGTCGCATATAGCCCGTCGGCAACCGTCGGACCTCGCAATGTCTTATGTACCTATTATGACTGCATATATGACAGTAGTATCGGCACCATAACTTGCATGTCCGGTGCCTTTGATGTAAAATTGCTAAACGGCCAAATGTCTCACGGGGAAAAGACCGGGGTCTGCGATGCAATGCAGTGAAACAATAGTTCGAAGGATAAGCCGTGGCGTGAGACGGCATGCATGAGACCGGTCTCATTACTGCAAGTCCAACCCACGAGGGTGTGCGGAATATATCAGCTCATCTTCATATAGGATTTATTTTGATCAATATTCCCTCGTTGATATTTACTTGGTAGCTGCGCGAAATGCGTATATCATGCCAGCAGGAATAATATATATCTAGCGAGTACAATATAGCATCAGCTGTGGGCAATTACTATGGACGGGCTTTATTGGTTGAAAACTCCGAAATGGCCATGGCCACTCCATGGCTGTAGATATAATATGTCAACTATACATCTAGTACATATCCCGACTATACTCCGTACTGTAGTCGCGATATCCTTGACTTGAAGGATTCTCACCGCCCCAAGATGTGATTTTGAACTCCAAATCCCATCAATGTAACTAACCGAGAGCAATTAGATCGTCAAAGGCCTCATTTCATTTATTTCCGTGCATCAGAGTGGAAATAGTGTGTCACGCGACTTGGGCTTTTGATAGACCCTACCTGCCATATTGTCGAACATATTGTCGGACATATTGTCGGACATATCCAGACGCCACATTCTGGGGCCCCTCCGGACTCGAGAACTAAACTCCGAGACTTGCATCTAGAATCATTCCATCTCGGACTAGATCAAAATGGCACACATTCAACACCCCCAGTCAGTGACTACAGTCTTTCTAGACCAGCCACCCAGTTGCCTGGAGTTCTGCCCCGAGGCCCCAGACCATTTCATCGTGGGCACCTATCTTCTATCAGAGGACAAAACAGAAGGTGGAGAGATCGAGCAGTCCAAAACTGGGAGTCTACAATTATGGAAATTAGACCCTGTTAGCAAAACATTGTAAGCCAGCCACAATCAATGATATTACCTCGCGGTCAGCCCGAGAAACGAGTATAACACCCTCATAACGAAGCCACTAACAGCTCTTAGATCCCAAATCCAAAGAATTGCCGTCCCATACGCAGTATTTGACCTGCACTTTCACCCAAGACACAGGAACCTATTCGCAATCGCAAGCAGCGTGGGTTCAGTGGCCCTATTCCAAGTATCCGCCAACTCCACTACCGGAGACGCATTCGCAACCCCAAGCATCACCCAATTGTGGACGAAGCAAGTACACGAAGATCCATCAATCCCAACACTCTTTCTTGCCTGGGCACCGCAAAACTGGTTCCCCCAGCCAGCAGCAGATGGCTTCGCCGTCACATTCTCAGATAGCCGGACAGCCGTCTTCGGAACAGAGGGCGACCTGCACCAAGAAGAAAGTATAGCAGAATGGGGCACGTACGAAGCCAAACAAATAATCGAAGTCTGGTTTGTTGCATTGTCAACGAGCACGGGAAACCCAGATGTCGAGACCCTGAGCCCATCTGCGACCCGGTTCATGTTCACGGGCAATGACTTCGGCTCGCTACACACGCGCCGATTCGATAAAACCGCCGAGTTGGATGATCCAGACGAGCATATCTCGCCCATGCTGCTCGAGCATGATGATAAGGCTCGCCACCACACTGCTGGTGTTACGGCCATATTGCCTCTTGATGTTCCCTTGGTCGACGGTGCCCCAGTTCTTTTGACGGGATGCTATGATGAGAGTCTGCGTGTGTACCATGCTACGTGGAGGGGAGAGGTTCTCGCTGAGCAGGGGCTTGATGGTGGGGTTTGGCGACTGCAGTTGCTGAATACGACGAGAATTCCGGGTTCAGATGACCCGTCGAATGTATCCGAGTACCGCTTTTTGGTGTTGGCGAGCTGCATGCACGCCGGGACGAGGCTTGTACGGGTTACTTGCAAGCACGAAGATGAGGCTCCGAATTGGGGGATTGAGGTTCTGGCGAAGTTTACTGAGCATGAGAGTATGAATTATGCCAGTGGTGTGTGGGAGGGTGGACAGGAAACGACTCGGTCTTCTGAGGTTTTCTGCATCTCGAGCAGTTTCTACGATCGCAGGCTCTGTGTTTGGACTGTTGATCTATAGTCAAACAGAAAAGCCATGCCAATTTGGAAGTCCATCTAGATGCTGAGGGTTCCGGGCTGGCTACGTTGACCAAAATTCTACGGGAAATCCGTAAGCCGAAATTATTCTAACATGATTGTGGTCATGAACACGCTAGAAAAAGCACGATGCATAAGCGACAGGTATACAAGTACATCTGCGCCCGAAGACAAGAAAAAAGCCATTCACCCGAAGAAAGTATATCGTTCCCATTGATCCATTGAGCGTGTAATTAGACAATAGTTTCCAGCTCGCGAGCATAACCCAAAGCATTCTCAATAACGGTGCCGCTAGCCATCAGGATATCCTTCTCAGACCTAGCAGCCGCCTCCGGCTCAACAGGGAAGTATATCCGGCCGTCGCGGAGGATCCAGCCACGCTGCTTGGCAAATTCGATCACTGCACCTTCAGACTCGAGGAAGAGGAGGTTCTTGGCGTTGGAAATGGGGAGGGAGGGGTATGCCTTCTCTGAGCAACCTGCGATTTCATTGCGGATAGTGCCGATGAGAACCTACAAAGCTTCTGATTAGTATCATTGCCCACGGAGATACTGAATTGCGAACTGAGCACGTATGCAACTTACATTTGAGAACAGACCAAAGTCTTCCGACGGAACACGCTCGGACTTCGTCTCCCTCCACACCTTGTCGTAGCTTCCCTCCATCAAGTTGCGCTCCAACTCAACGGGATACTTGATGCAAGCATCATCCTCAACACGGCCACCCTTCAAGCTCGCCTCTTCCACCAACCCCTCTAGCACTGTGTGGAAGTTGGCACTGTCGCCCATGCTCAAAAGAAGAAGCAGATACAGCCCTGTAATCTTGCTACGTTGGCTAGTGCTGAAATCGACCTCCGAAGAACTCTGCCCGGGCAGACCGGCATGTCTCTCAAGATCGTAGAATGGCTGCAGTTGCTGGTAGTACCGTGTGAATAGCTGCGCGTCGGTCTGGCGGATGGAGGCAAGTGCTCCAAGTTCGAGGACTTGGCGGGCAAGGACGACAAGCTGGGGAGGTGTGGAGGAAGTCGGAATCAGGGCATTTTGCGTAAGGAGAGCTCTCTTGGCACGGCTGAGGAGGTCGTTGGCGGCGTCGAACTGTTTGCGCTCGATAGCACCGTGGAGCTCTGACACAAGGGACTGTAGATCGGACATGGTGGAGGTTGTGTAGATTCAGTACAATGGTGAAAGGGAATAAGGTAGGCTAGCCGTCGTATGGTGAAGGCAATAATTAGAACGGCGGAGACGATAGAGAGTTCTGGTTTTGGTTGATGATTGTTGGCGACATTCCGATGCTCATGACGGAGCTGAGGTAGGCGGTCAGTCACGTGTGGGAATTTGATAATCGGGCCTTCTCCTCTTCCCCTTCCTCTCTTCGTTTCAACTCATTACTTGTCATCATACCATGAGTATTGCCTCGCAATATTCCCAGCTACCAGCGGTCACCTATACTAGGACGGATTGTTCACCCTGGCGAAACGTAATTTTTTTCGATGGTTTGACAGGTGACCACCTCGGCGGTGTCCGACAAAATGGGTCAATCACCAATATCAACTTTTTGCATATGCTTACGGACATATTACTCATCGCTAAAGTATCAACTACAATCAATGAAGACCAAGTATCAATTACGATCAAGTCAAGAGACACTGGGGACCCACTTCCAGGAATGCGATGGACCTCATTTTATAGGTAGAGGATGTGCGATATTGAAGCGGAGGATCTGGAGTATTTTCGCCTACTTCTTTGGCGGGGCTAAGATATATACGTCTCAATTTGAGTCATCATATCTCTAATGGTATCTATACTCGATAACATACCTTAAAGCTGTCTGGGAGCACACAGCGTCGACGGACCTACCCACCTCAGGCTAAGCTCCTGGTTCAACAAAGCTAGCCGGGATTTGACTAACTCTTCGGAGTTCGGCCGGTACCTTAGCGCAGTTCAGCGCCAGGATGCGCCTAGCACGGGGATGGGTATGTTCTGGGCTGCGTATGAGCAGCAGTATCAGGTTGCGGAATCGTTTCAAAGCAGGAACACAGTGAAGAAAGCATACGGCATGAACGAGCGACTTGTCACTATGGCTCTTGTCAACTTCCTTCAGGCAGTTCGTGCCTGTCTGGTCTAGAGATCAATTGCAATCCAGCCAGGGTCCACTTGACCTTTGACTTCAAGGAGGTCAAGGAACAAAAGCAGGCCAAGGCAATTGATTCGAAGATTCATAGCCTATCGTGTGAAACAGATGGCCTGGTGGAAAGTTGAAAGGGACTTTTGATCTTTAAAAGTTATTCATTCAGAGGTTGAGTGATGAAGACTTGAATTTGGTATCATTGACATTGTGTCATGAGGACTAAGTAGCTTTGCAATTCTGTGTGAGAAGCAAAAGATGAACACAGCGTGGGAAATAGACAAGAGGCTGTGGTATACATGACTAGATCAAACAAACGCCGTTGAACATAAAGCAAAAGTCCACTCAAAATGAAAAACCAACACCAGCAAAAATGATCTGTACAAAATATGACTCGGTGGCATTGCATTCATTCTATCCTGCCAAATTGGCAAAGTTGCCAAATGTGATGTTTCGAGATGAAACGACAATGATGTTTCGTGTCAAATCCAAAGAATAGAAAGCATGCGAGGATCCATATTCTCAAACATGTTTGTAAAATTCAACTGTCCAAGTCCCAAATTCCGGGAAATCAAAATGTCCCAAGTGTCGTGTGTGTTCCGTTCCCATCCGTTCCGTGAATTGTGAGCCAGTGTCGTGAGCTCGTAGATATTATTCATTTCCCATTTGTGTCGTCCCGTTATAAGGGTAAGGTATGTCGTAGGCGAAGAAGAGGTAGGTGTAAGCAAGTCGCGAAAAGAAAAAAGAAAACCAAAGAGAGCAAGTGTCCCTTGCTTCGGCGTTGAGGAAGGATCAGTTTGATTATTCCTCGTCGGTCAGTTTCCGGATCAGACTTATACTCAAGATCATGACCAGCAAACCAACAGTGACTATAACTAGTAGGACAAAGCCAAACCAGCCAAGCACCATTGCAGAAGAGCCGACGCCGCTCTTCACACTTCCATTGCCCATGTCTTGGGCTATCGTACTGGCAGCGACAGATGCTGTGTGCTGCCACAGTACGGACACCAGAACGAACACCGAGGAGACGAAAATGAGGGCTAGCGCAGCCTGGGAGACGGGCCGGGAGGGGAAAGGCTTGACTTCACGCTCAGACCCCGTGTCGTCGACCTCCTCGTGCCAGCCAGGGAATGTCGCCAGAAGGATGAAACAGAAGAATGCGAGAATGACAGCAACAATCCTGCACGAGTATTAGTGTTGTCCAGGATTATGAAAATGAAAGTTACTCACAGGAGATACGGGAACACAACGGCATCTTTGAACGTCGAGGCAACCCAGATCAGGTTCAGTGGATCTTGATCCACAGTGACAATCTCAGCCAGCGCCGTCGCATTGGCGTTGCAAATGAAAGAACCTTTATCAGGCTGAACACAGATACCAAAGTAGCCCACTCGGACTTCCATCTCTGCACCGCCGACTATGTTGGAGAGGGCAGTCGCGACATCTGGTTGGACTTGTGCGAGATCCCTAATGGGGTTATACTTTTCATAGTATAGAGAGATGAGGAAGATGTCAGGGATCTGTGGGGATGATGAAGAGCAGCCGGCCAACAGGAGTGCTGCAATATATTAGCTTCATTTCAGCACCAAGGGCAATGAGAACGACAGGCACTCACATAGTAAGATAATAGCAACTGCGATGATAATCATCAACACATGGTGGTACCCGATCATCGGAATGAACCCTGCATGAAGAATTAGCGACAATGCCATCGTATGATTTCTCCTGGCATGCTGTCACTTACGGGCCCATTTTTGAGCGAACGGAGCTGCCATTGCGTTCAATTATGACCACCTCCAGGTCGAACTCCTGCACTTTTTTGTTGACTCGCTTCTCGGTCTCCGAGAAGGAGTTGCCTGAACTGAATGCGATCACAGAACTCAATTGTACACCAGTTACACACTCGTTGTTGTTTCGTGTGATTGAGGTGACAGGTGAATCGAGATCGAGATCGAGATCGTTGGAATGGAATGTAGATGAAGAATGTGGAGGGTAGGATAAAGATCGGATCGTTCAGGACCTATTCAATGCTGGGAATACTTTGAAAAATACCCAAAATATTTGATAATATTGTGGAATCCGGCTCGCAACTAGAGTGGATTATCCAGGTCAGAGATATGATATGACTTGACGCCTGTGTGTAGTACAGGTGGGAAGTATATGAAAGACAGGGAATGTGTAGAAAGAATGGAAGGAGAGAAAGAAGGGATTGCAGCTGGCACAAAACTCAACGTCAGGCTAATTGACAGATTCTCCGAGTCTCTCTGGAGGCTGGGGATGAGGCAAGAGTATAGGAAATCTAGGAGGCTGGGCCAACCGCTCTTGTTTACTTTCCCGCTTCCCCGGTAACCAAGTTAGACCGCCTTCTGTGTGGGTAATTCTGCCCACTCACACGGGAAAGTCTGGACCATGTTAGTCCCGATATAGACTAGTGCAGATCCTGATAAGCTTCGCCCCACTTCCACAAGCCACGCGATTCACCCAGCCTCTTAAATATTGGGCCGTTTCCATACGCTACATCGATGTACAATCTATGGATCAGGCACATTTCAATGTTTCAGAGTTTCCATGCTATGATTCTCAAACCCTCACCAACGCTATGTCAAACAATAACCCCAATTAAAAAAAGTATTAACACCATAGGTTACGCGCCAAAGTGGAACCCACCAAACCAGTGGTCCAATGCTACCCCGGATACCAAGACCTGATGTTCCTAATGCTCCGTAATCAAAAAGAGACAAAAAGAGATGCAGCCTAAGTTGCGCCAAAAGAAAAGCGTTTGAGATCAAGAGTAGTCGAGTGCCCTGTGTTTGGCTCATCCTCGTCCTCTTCATCCTCACTGTCTGGGACAATGAGATCTTCGCTGCCTTGAGTTCCTGCCAAAGAGGACCCCTTACGTACGACAGGAGAAGAAGCTTCAGTCCGAGGCTCCGCAGGCTCGGCATCCCGGAGCTTAGTAGGAATGTTGATGCTGTTAGATCGACTAAGAGCGGACTGTCCCATCCGCTGGAGCGGTGTCAGCCGTCGCTGAAAGACGTTGCTCCGTGCAATCGCAGCTGGGCTTCTTGGCGTTGAGGGTGTTGAAGGTCTATGAGAACTCTGAATCGCAGGAATCTTAGTCATGATAGAGCTAGCTGCGGTAGTTTCGGGCTTTTGCCCTGCTTGAAAAGTAAACTTAGAAAGTACATTCGAGTTCTGCCGGTCAACGTGATAGTCAAGAGCCTGACTGAAACCGGGGGAATTCGGTGTGGTGTCCCTAGGGCTATTCTGAGATACTTCAAAGTCCTCAGTCACCAGGACTTTGTCGGAAGTAGGGTCGGAAGGGGTTCCTACTTCACTGGGCTTGCCAGAAATCTCAAGGGTGCTTTCTGGTCTAGACTCAGCAGGCCCAGATGTAGTACTGGGATCAGGAATGCTGGACATTATATCTTCTGCCATTTCATCGGAGAAGACACCGATCACTGACTTGCGTGACCGTTTTGACCGGGAGAGCTTTTGGCCACTAGGGCTACATTGTTCGGAAGTAGGAGCAAAGAACCGACTGCGAGCAGGGGAACAAGCGGGCAGAGAATCCCCTTCAGCCTCAGAGCAGAGCCTCTGCCTCTTCGTGGACTGCAAAGCCGACGATCTTGCACTTTGCGCAAGAAAAGATGAGCGTTCCACACTCCGAACCATAGGGCTGAGGCGTTGGTCAGAGAATGCCCTGAGAGGCGTGGACCTGACCGAGTTGGAGCGGAAGGGCGCTGCATTGGCCTGCCACGTGTTGTTTGCATTACGCTCCAGGAGTCGCTGTTGGCTCGGAGACGGAGTTAGGCTGTTAGGGTCCAGCTCAGCCAGCGGTGTCCTCTTGGGGGTAAAGAACGAATTGATGGACTTCTTTGGCTTCAACTCGGACGAAGTACCTAGTGTCTGGCGGCGATTAATGCCAAGGGTCCATCTATTTGCGAATAGTGGCTTCAGGGTGATTGGTTCCTTAGTGGTTGGATCCAGATCGCCACGAGAAACTCCGATGGCAATTTCCGGCTCCATATCGGCGCCGATGAACTGCAGCGTAGCCAAATTGACATCCTTGTCAGGCGGTGTCAAAGTCACGAGCTTTTCAGCTTTGCGGCAGAAGACCCGTTGATAAAGGAACGTCAACTCGGCCTGTTTGAAGTTGGCAAGGTAGTCGGCTGGGACTCGAAAATTGCCCTCAAACTGGAGCATGCGCAGGGCTTTTTCAACGTTCCGATGCTTGCGAATAATCCGGTAGGCAGTCTTCAGCCCCAGCTTAGGGATATTTGCCAAGTAATCACAACCGCTCAAAATGCACATGTTTCTGAAGTCTGGATCACTGAATCCAACCAAACTAACCTCGCGGCAAGCAGTGAAATTGGCGCGGTTTATCTCAATGCATTCCCCGTGTTGGTCCAATTTGGAAATCAACCGCTTTGCTCCAAAGACAAGCAAATCCGAGTCCTCGGATATGATCCCATGAATGTCTCCCTGCTGCTCCAGGTACACCAACTGGGCGTCTGCCTCGTACGGGGCCACCACATATTGCACGTTCATTTGCTTCAGTTCCTCAATTAACTGGCGAGCCATGTAGGGTGTCACATCGACGGCCTTTTGGAACTCTTGGTAAGCTTCAGGCATTCTCCCCTTCCGTTGTAGCTCCAGTCCAAGGGCCTTGCTTTCCTGACGCCGTTTGTAGCGATCCTGTTCAGTGCCTGCCTTGCTGGGTAGATTGTCGCCATCGAAAACAAGGTAGGGTTTCACTCCAAAGAAAAGAAGCATGCGGACTCGGTTGAGGACGAAATCAATGTGTCTGCCAAAGATAGCCTCGTCAGTTGAAAGTGCATGGGAGAAGATACCAAACGACATACTTCCTAGTAGGATTGTTCAGGACCAGATCGACTGAACAAGCAACAGTTCCCCGGTGCAGCCATCCATATGCATCGACTCCAAGTGTTTGCCCATTGAAATTCTTAATGTGACATGGTTTTTGAATGGACTTGAGAAGCCCGTGCAGTCCTGTTTGTTTGCGTTAAAATCACCATTTATCTCTCCCCTAGACTGTCACAAGTCAACATACCTTTAATGCCCATGGTGGACACCGTTCGAGGGACAGGCGGGTCCTCGTATTCAAGCAATAAGTGATAACATAAGTTGAGATTCTCACAAGGAGGAGACTAATGAATATGAAATACAATGCGAGGTCCAAATTAAATCTCAGTTAAAGAATTGAAGGAGTAAATAACTCCTGGAATGCTCCTATCTCGACGCGCAGACGCGCTTTCCTCGAGTGGGGAAGGCGGTGATTTTGGGGTCACCGCCTAATTATGCCGGTGCATCCACGAAAATTATCATCGAAATTCACGGCGGAGTGCTTGGAGTAATTCTTGTCATTTGCCCGCAACCATGCCTGTTACTTTGGAAAAGGTGCACAAGCAGATTTCCAAGAAGCGCAGCTCTACTAATGCGCTTCATGAGAACAGTCGCGATGCCCACCGACTCCGCAAAGCTGGTGCTCGCGACGATCGGTTGTCCCGCCATAACGCCACTGTGAACCGTGCAAGACAGCCATACTGTGAGACAGCTGCCTATTCCAATTGAAGGTCAACCAGCTGACTCAAATAGTGGACCGAATTGATTACATCCATGAGGCTATACAGGATCGTACTGAGGCCCTCTCGATCGAAGAGATTTCCGAGTTCGTCGCCAAGTATGTAACACCAATGATCCATCACCAAACCCAAAACTAACCCAAATTAGGTACATTGCCCGTGATACTGAGGAGATCAAACAGCTTGAATCAGAGCGCCGGAAAGGTCGTCCTCCTAGCAAACGCGAAGAGGCCTTGAAACAGCGGGTCCAAACCGAGGATCGGGAGTTCGCGACAGGACTGTGGATGCCCGATCTAAGCGATCAATATGCAATGACCGCAATGAAGAACTGGAATGGACACTGGTCGGGTCTCAGCGCAATCAAGTTCATGCGGTTTACAAAAGGCGGAGAGAAACTCACGTCTACTTTCCCACCAAAGAGCATGTCATGATCTCACGATTACCCTTTTCTATATTTTTTTTTTCTGGTGTCCAAAAAGACTGGGTTGGCGCATTATGGGTACATTGATTCTTCTCTAGATTCTGTACAGCGGAATATTCTCGAATATACCATTTCAATTCAATGCGGCTGTATCGTCCATCTACATATGTAGTCTCTCATGCGCGAGGTCTTCCATCTAGCCATTCATGCGCATATAGTAGAGCGAGTTGCAATGTGAATTCCAATCAGCCCAAGTTACTGGCTGTCTCCAATAAAAGTCAATTGCAATTATATATGCTTTTTGCCTAATGTAGAATCAAATTGCGTGGCGCAAAGTCGGCCAAAACAGAAGCGCCGGTCTTGGCACTCGTAATACCTTAGCTCATTCACATTTTCCCCGGGCTCCCATCTTCATCAACTTGAGACCATCCAACTTCACAATGCTTTCTCTTCGCACTATTACCCGCTCTATCCCGCGCACTTTCTCGCGCTCCATTGCCACTTCGGCTCTGCGCCCAGCACTCCCCAAGCCCGCTGTCTTCCAATCCTGGAATCAGGCCACTAAGCCCGCCTACGCTGCCTTCTCGACCACTAGCATCTTCAAGGCTCCTTCATCCGAAGGTAAGATGTGTTGAAAGATATTTGAAAGAGTCCGCGGAATCCGATCTTTCTGGTGGCGGACTCTATACATGGCCTTGAGCTGATTTTGGATTTTCTTTTTTTGCAGTCGACATCGAGCTTCTCGCCAAGCTCGAGGATGAACTGAGACACGAGAAGTCTTCCGAAATCCCTGAATTTGAGGAGCAACTGGAAGCCATTGAGGAGACTATCAAGCTTGGCGAGTGGCAGGTGAAGGATGTTGCGGGTGAGCAGGAAGTCATCCTCACCAAGAAGTTCGGCACCGAGAAGTACGATTCATACAATCCCATTTTGTTTTCTCCTTTCCTTCAAGTTGATGATGAATGCTAATACATATGATTGTTTAGCATCCGTGTCAGCTTCACCGTCGCCGATATCCAGAACATCAGCGAACAGGAGGACTTTGATGACGCCTCTCTGACCGACGAGATGGACTTCCAGAACCAGCGCGGCCAGGATGCCGAGGCCTCCGCCGAGGACATCGAGCAGCCGGAGCCCAGTTTCCCTGCCCGTGTTACCATCACCGTTGAGAAACCCAACAACGGTGCCCTTCTGATCCAAACCGTGGTCCAGGACGGTGTGTTCCAGATCGAGGAGGTCTCCCACTTCGCCAAGGCCGAGCTCGCCCAGTCCCTGACTGCTGAGAAGGACTGGGCTCGCCAGAGCCTCTACGCCGGTCCCCCCTTCGAGAACCTCGATGAGGACCTCCAGGGTCTCTGGGACCGCTACCTCGAGGATCGTGGCCTTAACGCCGAGTTCGCTAATATGGTTCCTGACTACATCTCCGTCAAGGAGCAGAAGGAGTACCTGCGCTGGTTGGAGAGTATGTTTCCCTTCCTACATAATCTTTCTGTGACTCTCGTGCTGACAACACCTCTCTCCTTTAGCGGTCAAGAACTTCATTGGTGCTTAAATTAACTAGCCTATTTAACCTTTGGTTCATTTCCTCTTAATCCTGTCATGGGTGCCTTTTGATAATGAGAAGTCTGCCTGATGAGGAGATACCACCCTCGTGCCTCAATATCATGGTTAGCTTTAGTGCAACTGCTTGTGCGACTCTATTTGTACCAATATGTCCAATATACAATCACTTCACTTATTCCATGGCTACCTAGGTATATTCCTAGCTCTAGCTTAGTATGCACATCTTGCAAGTCGGCCAGTTCCACAGCCGAGTGATTATCTTTATCCAATTGATAGATCCGGATGAGAACAAAGTAATAAATGTAGAAACAGGCTGATCGATGGCAAATGACTCGGTTCCATGCGCAACAGATCCCATATCCTCGAAATCACAATCCCTTGATATAAAATTCAAATGAAATCGGTGGAGGGAATTAACAAAGCATAAAGTCATAATACTATGAGGCAACTAGGCAAAGGCAATAAACATGGACATGGTGCTGTTAAAATTCCATAGGCTGTTAAAATTCCATAGGGTCGGCCTTCACAGCAGGGCCACTGTCATCGCGTTCACGCTTGCCAGCACGCTCTTCCTTAATGAGGCCTGCGATGAAGGAACGGAAGAAATCGATGTAAGGTTTCAGGCTGGTCTTTTCATAATCCTGCACCTTACGACCACCCTTCATGTCGGAGCCATTCATCGCACTGCCTTCAACATCAGGGATATCTGCCTCTGCTGTCCCGGCAGGGTGTTTCGAGTCATATTCATCAATCTCAGTAAGCAGCGTCATTACCGTAGGGACGGAGAGAGGATCAAAGTTTTCCGCGTTGCGAGGATCGATGGGAACACAAATACGGCCAGTGCCGGGGTGAATAACAAACGGACTCTTGAGCAAATGAATCATCTTCTTGCTGACCTCGGCATCCAGGCGTGGGTAGGTATATTCCAAGACAATGTCTTGCTTCGCATCTCGGAGCGTCGCCGGGTTTAGGGTGCTGCTCTTCCCTGTCTTTGCAAGTGAATCGATATCGGCCCATTTGCTGGTGCTGGCACGATCTGGAGAGGAGTCCCATTTCCTCCGCAGGGATTCGTTTAATGTCTTGTCGGGCAACAAGGACAGAAGGCGTTCTGCCTGCTCGGCAGATTCAAATGTATCTTGGTCACCTAGTGTGGTCCGGGCAAAGTCGTGCTTGAGCAACTCAAGACTTCGTACAATATGGGGGTGTAGTGGCCGTTTGATGTTGACTTTCTTCCCGCTTTGTGACCCTCCGCGGATAATCTCAAGATAACCAGCGATGGCTCGGCGTCGATCATCCGGTAAATTGCGTGCACTGGGATCACACACCCAGGCGTGAGCACCACGACGACCCGAGTAAACCCAGAGGATGTGTTCAAACCCAAAGTCCTCCCGTAGTGCAGTGTCGATAACCTTGATTGACATTGTCACAAATGCCCAGCACTTAGCGCAGATATTCGCTTTGATACAACATGTACGGATGTCATCATAATCAGTCAAATCGATGTCGAAAACCAATTCCTTAGAGACTGGCTTCATTTGGCCGCCTCGTAGCGTTTTGCGATCGCGTGGATTGGTGCTGTAGACAGGTCCAATTTCGAAACGAGAAGGGTTCATCTTAAGTATGTCTTTCCGAAAACTGGACATATATGTCAACTCAAAAGGGGGTCGACAAGAAAAGTTGAAATTGTCTTACAGGTCAGCAGTTGGATATGATTGGTATCGGAGATAGGCGTCATTTTGCAGTGTCAGTGCAAATTCTCGGTTGCCGAAGTCTTTCGTTGGTACAATTCCATGATTCAGCCATTGGAAAAGGTATCGGAAGGGGAAAAGTCGTTGATAGAAGGCGAGCATAATATCAGGGTCCACGCCCGAGGGTGTGGGTGCTGGAGGCCTGTTGCGAACTTTCTGTCAGCATTCAAGTGCAAGGTTACTGTACGAAAACTTAGCACTCACTCTTCCTTTGCAGCTGGTGATTCCATCTTCACATCTCCAGAAGCCGGGAACTCCTCGTTATCGTCATCATCGTCGTTGAACATATCCTCGAGTCTGACATTGGTTTCAGTCGAGGTCTCGACCGGAGGCGCATCCGGCATCTCATCGTCATTCTGCACAGAGCCAGATGACACAGAGTGAGGCATTGTGGGCGAGTCTGGTGATGGGCAAAGCAAATGCTCTTTCCAAGGTCATCCGGGGCTTAATTGAACCCAAACGGGAAGGCGCGACGCGCGACGCGCGACCCCCCGTGAACGTGCTTGCCCTAAGCCCTACGTCACGTGCTGCCCCAAAACGGAAATACTCTCTATGACCGAAAACGGATGGGTTGCCTCGACGCTATTCCTCGCTTTTACTATGGAGAGGCAGTCGTGAACTGTACTGCGCGATGTCGAGATACCACGTTCACCCCTTCCCGCTTGCGGCCAAAATCTCTGCAGTACCTCACTGCTGTACCTCTCGTCCACCAGAATCCATGGATGACATCTAGACTTCCCTGCTGCTCCAAAAAATAATGGCATACAGGCTGCAAAGGTCACCTTCTCGGATTGGTTGAATCCTTCTCCACTGTTAATCTCTGACGAGAACCCGATTGTTAGTCTGCGGCAAAATGCGCCCACCCTTCGCGCAGTGGAGGCTTCCTACCCCAGTGCTAGATTGAGATGCCCCCGTCATTGATTACATCCGATGTTACAATGGGCCACATCCGGATTAACCCCCTCAAAAAGATTGTCTTGCGAGCCTACTAGGACGGTGTCGCTCCAGGAATACTTTGGGTTCTAGCGTGCATTCTTTCAAAGTGGCACCTACCAATGGAACGCCCCTACACTCAATCGGATGTCATTCCACATTCCAGAGAGCCAACCTTGGAAGGAAACAGCCCTATCCGTATATGGGATGCGCTGATTCTGGTCCACTGGTTTCGCGTTTTCACTGCGAGGCCATTCGTCTTCGTGGGTTTTCTACCCGCAATCAGAGGAGCGTTGTGTCCTATCGATTATGGTCCCGTTCGAATATGATCGGCCAGCCATCCGCGCTAGCGACTATCTCCGATTCCGGAGCTGACATGGTTGCCGCTCTGCTAACACTGAACACCTAGAATGGTCCTTTTGCTGGCCATATAATCCAAAACACACATATTTTTGAACAATGATCTAGTGATTTCCTCTATCGAAATGAAGCGGTGTACAGCCATGCCAATAATTTGCTCACTACCTTTGCGGATTGTTGAGACTATGGATTGCCAAGCTTTTCTTATGCTTCCGCATTAGGTTACTCTCCAGGGCTAGTGGATGAAGATGGAGACCTCCTCACTGCTTACCCCAATGACACTGAAGTCTGTCACGTTTGCATCGGAGTTCGCTAAATGGATGTCACATTGCACAAGATTTTGTCCCATGGCCATGCACCTGTGCCTTTACCATCTGTGGTTGAGCTACCTAGTACCTGCATTCGGCCATATGGTTACATTGCGAATCAGGTCTACCTTTCTGTCCTGGACACGACCGTGGCACCCGTATCCGTCATGACTCGAAACCAGTCTTCTCAAACAGGGCATATAAGATGATTCATTTCTGTCCATCTTTCAACGTTTCTATCATCATCTCTTCGCTCGTTATCTTTCCAAGTTTGTTTGTTAAAACTTTGATCTCTCGAAATGGTCAACTCCGTTGCTATTCTGGCTCTTGCCAGCCCGGCCTTCGCCGGTCTCATGCAGGCTCGTGGCGAGCAATTCGTCCGTCCCGCCGCTCAGAGCTCTGCTGCTGTTGCTGCCCCTGCCCAGGCTGAGGGTTGGGGCGAGAGCTGGTCCAAGCCCGCTGAGCACGTGTCGACTCACGACTCCTGGAGCAAGCCCACTGAGTCGTGGACAACCCCGTGCACCACCTCGACCACCACCCCGGTGCACCACACCACCACCACCCCGGTGCCCACCACCACCCCGTGCACCACCTCGACCACCCCAGTGCCCACCACCCCTTGCACCACCTCGACCAAGCCTCACGTCCCCGTGAAGCCTGGCACCACCAAGACGCTCACCTATGTGACCACCACCTGCCCTGGTAAGCCCTTAATCTCTATCAGATCATATCACTTGAACCACACATGCTAACAATACCTCCAGTCACCTCGTCTACCGTCACCTCTGGCTCTAAGACCTTGACTGTTCCCGTCACCGGAACAAGCACCATCACCATCACCAAGACCACCGTCTGCACCATGTGCGAGAACGAGAAGCCTGTGACCTTCCACAATGCTACTCAGCCCGCCACCGGCCCCACCGCAGGCCCCACTGCCCCCGTTGTGAAGCCTACCGGACATGTTGTGGTCCCTGAGAAGCCCCACCCCTCCAAGCCCGCTGAGACCAAGCCCGTCGAGCCCAAGCCCGTTGAGACCAAGCCCGCTGTCCCTGCTCACTCCCAGCCCGCGGCCTCCAAGCCCGCTGTCCCGGTTCACTCCCAGCCCGCGGCCTCCAAGCCCGCTGTCCCGGTTCACTCCCAGCCCGCTGTCTCCAAGCCTGCTCCTTCCAAGCCTGCTGAGACCCAGCCCGCTGCCCACCCGTCCACCCCTGAGACCCCCGAGACCCCCTCTATCCCTGAGCAGCCAGGCTCCTCCCCCTCCTCCAACGAGTTCACCGGTGCTGCCTCCAACGTCAAGCCCGTTGCTGGCCTCCTTGCCGGTGTTGTTGGTCTCATGGCTCTCCTGTAAATCAGCTGAGTAGCCTCGACGCCGATCCATCTCTTGACTGAGATCGAATCCCTCTTGGTTCCTGATCTCTCTGGTCCTTGTGGTGCGGACCAGAGGGACTTCATGGTACCTTGAGTATTTCATTGAATGTCTGGCCTATGTACCACTTGGAATTTCTTCTTCTGCTTTTGACAGGGCCGGGGGATTAAAGAAGAACGGTTGCTTGGTCATTTCGAGATTTTGTCTATTTTATCAGACTTGTTTAAAATACTAATAGTAATATATAGTGCCTATTGCTTGGATTCGTCCGCTTATTGTATGTTTTAAGATCTTATTCGTCTTAGAAAAGTATATGCATTGAATCAAAAGTCAATTTATCTTTTCTTAGAAGAAATCCTCATATTAGGAAGTTTTGAGACGCTGGGCACTTTCTCTGGCTGCAATGTTCTTCCATTATCTTCTAGTCCTCATTAGGCTCCAAACTTATGTCATCTTCACTCAATGCGTTTTTCATAGTCTGTGTTTGAACTTTTCATATTGACTGCAGACCTGTGAATTGCCTTTTCCGGTTAGCTTTGCCCCTTTGGGCTTAGCGTCCCGATACACCGTCAGTTTACCTTCAATGCCCCCGACATAAAAGACCCATCTTCGCTGCTCGTCCTCCCCCCTCTCATTTTTCCATTCTTACTATCTTTCACCCAAGATGAGCTGGCAAGGTATGCACTTACAAAATTAAATGCCCCCAGAGCCTAACCTTATGGTAACAGGCTGGGTCGATCAAACCCTGGTGGGATCTAAAAAAGTCGACAAAGCCGCTATCTTCTCAGCAGCAGGCGATGCTCTACTTGCAACGAGCGCAGGATTTAATGTAAGTTTTTCGAGTATCACACTTTGAAGTGCGGGCGGCTAGAACGCCTTCCAATAGGTTCAAGTGGCAGAGGTCCAGTATATGTTGAGAGGCTTTGAGGATTCAATCCCTCTATACTCTGGTGGGCTCTATGTCGCAGGGGAAAGACTTATGGTTACCAAAGCAGATGATCAGAGCATATATGCTGAGAAGGTAAGGCATTTCAACTGTGACAATAGCTGATGGCTCGTTAAACCTTGAGAATATTAGGGCAAGGAGGGTGTCTGTGTGGTGAAATCATCGCAATCAATAATTGTCGCACATTATCCTGAAACAGTGCAACCTAGAGAAGCTGCAAGCATTGTTGGACAGTTGGCAAAGTATTTAACTAGCATAGGATATTAGCTCCTGTTAAATCTCCAACCTTGGAAAAACGAAGAACCGATGCCTCGACTCCTCCATGGGAAACATGCAAAATTCAAGACCAGTCAAGAGAACTGAAAACCTCCTTCATCCCAATCAAACTAGAAATATTCAAATCTTCCTTTGTCAGAACGGGTTCGTCGGCAGTCCAGCTCTTCTCACGAGCTGTCTCCCAGAATTGCAACATAAGACCAATCTCTCGTCCCCACTTGGGCCATAGACTATCATAGTGATCAAGTGGAACTTGAATATAGTCGGCGGGCTTTCCTGAAACCTGGGACCAGAGATTGATAATTTCACGAGTTGTTTTGGTTTCAGATTGCGCCAGAACAATCCTGCCAACTGTGAGCTGAGGTTGGTTGAAGATGGCGAGCGCGTAGATGCCAGTGTTGACTCTGGGGTCGCCAACTGTTGTGATAGGTGTGTCATCCGAGACCGGGAATAGTTGGACATATTTTCCGCACGTTTTCTGTATCAATTAGTACAATGTCTTCTGGGTTGAGGGTGGAAGTTGAAAACCTACGAGAAGATTTGGCACAATCATAGGCAGAACGATATTTGTCCCGTAGTATCCGACCCAAAGGAAGGTAGTCTTGCTGAGTAGAGCTTTGTCTTGTTTAATAAACTCATCGACCTTGAGCTTTCCCTCAAAGTGAGGTATCGAATGTCTGCCGCCAGAGATCTTCACATGGTCGGGAATAGTACTCCATACGAAGTGCTTTAGAGAGGAAGTCTGAGAAGCTGCTTTGGCAAGGTTGATGCCTTGCCTAGCTTCAATTTCAATCAGGTCTTGGACACTCTGGGTCATGAAACCAGCCCAGTAATCAGTTACCGCATAAATGGCATATGAACCCTTTTCCGCGTTAGCTAAATTTCTTATACCGTATGAAGAATCTTACCTCAAATGCCTTCAGCAAGGTGCTCTCATCGTTCCAATCTGCAACCACCATCTCGACTCCTTTCGAAGCCAGTGCCTTGGATGCGTCACTGTTGACATTGCGAGTAACCCCGCGGATCTTCCAGTCATCGGACTTTAGGGCAGCAGCAATGACTGACCCTCCCTGGATGCCCGTGGCTCCAACGACAGTAATAAGCTTGGGAACGTTTGTCATGTTGAAATGTGATAATAAATTTAGGTAAATAAAAACTAACTGGTGTTTGGGAAATTTATACATTTATAGGTCACGAAACACAGTGCACATCCCCATAATGAGATACATCAATTCCCCCACATAATTACCTCTACTTTGGAAAGGACCCAGCTCCATACCTTTATTGGGGGCGACATCGGGCTACAACAAACCGGAAGAGCTCCGAGGAGTATCAGACACCTCTGGACTGCACTTGTAGGGAGACCGACCGTACTTTTGGTTTGTCGATCACGATTCAGATCTATCTCATTGTGATGTGATATGTCGAGTCTCTATTATAACTGGACAGATCTCATGGGATAAATCCAGTGCTCCACAGGCAATGCGACAGGGCTTTGCGCTATTAGAGACTATATGCTTTAGCGCGAAAGCTTAGCTGATCAGTCTGAAGCTCTCTGGAGCAGAGATGTGTGCGGAGTAAGAGACTAGAGATAAGTCGAAAGGATGGCCTGCAACATAGTTAGAAAGAGCAAGTAAGGTAAGTCGCTTTTATAGCGTTCTGTAAGCGCCCTTACAAATAATATAAAGAGAAGATTTGACTAGGTGCCCTAGTTTAAAAAAAATAATCGTCAAGAGAATAACGTTTAAATACCTATTATCCTACTTCTCGAGCTAGATAATACGTATTATAGAATATCCGTCTATTTAAATTTAAATTTATAGGGGAGTAAGACTTCGGACTAGTACTTTACTACACATAAAGGATGAGACGGTGAATGGGAGGCCAGAAACGGCTGCTTTTGACGCCGTTTTAGGCCGCTCGCTCACCGCGGGCGGTCTTGGTGTCACGTGTACTTAAGCGCACGGTCGACCTGACCTACTGCCACCTGCGCCTCGCGTTGGTCGTGCCTAGTGCCTTGGTCCGTCGTGCCAGCCTAGATCCATTCGTGCTGCAGGCGCTGCAGGGCCCCATCACCCTCCTGGCGGGGTGAGGGGGCTAAAAATGGCTCCTCTGTTGGAAAGCCGTCCTTCTTAGGTTTCCATAAATACCGACTACCATAGTCTTGATCTGCCTTTTCTCTACAGCAGTCTTCCCACCAGTCCCGGTCGGTCTCTAAGGGCCTTGTTATCCAAGTGCGAACAGAATTAGTCCCGTTTATACTCTCTTCCTTCGACTCGTCTTCGTTCTTTTGTCCCTCCTTTGGCTCTATAGCATTCGGTCACTATGCCTTCCCTCCCACGTCTAGTTCTGTCTAGGCCTTGACAAGTCCTGTAGTACCAGGCTCGGCACTACCAAAGGGCTTGGTCTGGTACTGCGGTACTGCGGCAGTAGTACCTGATAGTTTGTGTTAGGCAGATATGCAAAAGGTTATAGGAAAGAGTCGTAAAGGAAAGTAAATGCTATCTATCAATTACATTATTTGCCGTAGGAGCTGACTATGAAGGAAAGTGCTATGCTGCGATGGCATACTTGGTTTAACTTGGCATGTACAGCGTTCTCTTCCTTTGTCCCTCGACCTCATCAATCAATTCGTCGGGTGCGACGCATTTAATGACAGTCCTCAATTGTTGCCGTCTCGTTGTGACTCTGCTCATCACTAACAGCGGTGTTTGCAGCAATTGTGGCCATTTTCTGTGCAGCCTTGTCACAAATCAACACAATCTCCTCCGTAAAATTCTCGTTTTCTGCAAGGGCACGGAAACTTGCTTCCCAAAAGTCCCATCTCTCACGGGACAGGCCCCCTTCACCTGTATATAGTGTTCAGGGGTTCAGATCTGTGAAGTCAGGTAAATTATCAAGGGAGCGAAAGAGTATTTCTCCGGAATGCTCAATCCACTACGCGGCACCGCGGATTCGACACTCCGAAAATTCATCTACTTGAAGGGGCTCCTCTTCGAATGCATGACGGAAGCACCGGGTCGTCAGACGAAACCAGTTTGCCAAGCCAGCTTGGAGGACACGGGCTGAAAATGCCTGCCAATTTATCCATCTCTCAAATTCAAATGCTCCATCCTTAGGTTTGGGGGCTGTTCAGTAAGGTAAAGATTTAGTTTAGATGCAGATACCCATTGGGTCGAAAGGTAGAACGTACTGACGGCATACTCGTGCCATACCTCCATTAAATATGGAAGATCTGTCCAAATCCGTTTTGTTGCCTAGGGAAAAGGATAAACAAATCAGACATGGACCGAAACATGATAACTAGGAATAAGATACTGTTTTGTAAATGGAGACTTCCACTTCGGGTAAAGCTCTCAATTCCTTGATGATCTCAACTATCTTATCTTGTGAGGGATGATCATGAGGAATTTGCTTCACAAGTTCGTTGATTGTTCCCCAAAACTCCAAACACCAGCTTTCAGGCTCCTCTGCCTCTTCGCCATTTGCCTCACGATTCATTGGGGTGAGCTCATTTATCCCAGCTGCAGCTTCTGCAGCCGAAAGCTGACTATCTGGCTGCAAAGAATTGTTTAGGATCATAAAGTATTTCTGTTCAACAATCCATGGGTCGTCATCTTTAAGAGATGCAAGGTGTAGATGGAGAGGTGCAGCCATGATTAAGACAAAAAGAAAACCGGATCAAGAGTTAGAAGAATTGAAGTTTGTGAGGAATGTAGACTTTAAGGAAGTGAGGTGATATGAAAGCGGGGCCTGCATATTGTTGAAACGCCAACGCGCTCAGTTACTTGAACGGCAGTAACCGCCAACACACACCATCGTATTTTGCCCGTAAATAACTAGTAACTACTCTGTAATATGTTATCAAAAACTGTAAACTAAATATAGTTTTAAAACTATAATTAGACTTTGATGGTGCATCTTCAGATTTGTCGTGTTGGCGGCTATATATTGCCGTACTCTGTAATCTATACTCTGTATTTTGTATTTTTCTTTCTTCTATTTTAACTATATAGTCCAGCACAGCCTTATTTGAGCATCTGAGCCAATCGAGGGCGATAATATCCACAGTTTAACCTGGTCCCCGCGTGCCATGGATGGAATAATTTCCGCCAGTGGCTGCTCTGTGCTATGTCTTGCGCAATGGCAGCCGACAATGCAGGGTATGTCTGGTTACTCGATTTCACAATTACCGGGTTTGAGAACTTACTGGCTGCTAGCATTGAGCCTTGTAAAGAGCGGCTGGCCTTTCATTTATTTGAGGTTATATACTTCTGGGGCTCAGAGATCAGCCACCTCAAAGTCTCAGAGCAAGACTGGCTGAGGGACAGTTTTGTGACCTCAGGGGTTGGAGAGGGGAGGGTAATAAAATATTTTCCCTTATTACGACTCCAGCAGTTTCACGTGCCTTGAAACTTGCAGAAAAATTTGATATTTGCCCTAAAAGACTTTGGAATCTGGCAAGAACTTCTAATCGCAGCGCAAACGATATTCCTGCACTGCTGGAAGTGATAAATCAATGCGAGTCTCCTGATTTGTTCGCCGAACCAAAGGGAGCAATTGAGTGGCAAATATTTTCGACGAGCACAGTATCTGCTTCGCTTGCCTGTCTGGGAGAGAGGATCTATCGAATTGATACAATGCCTACTAATCATGAGCCAGTATTTGCAATGCACGGACAACTCACACCAGACCTGGATGGTTGTAGGCTCGGCTGTGAGAATTGCGCAAGGTCTTGGACTTCATCTTTCGGAGGTTTGGGGCTCACCCTCAAACGACCAAAGAGGGGCTCTCCAGCGGCGGATCTGGCAGGCGTGTATTGTTATGGATAGGTAAGAAGTTGAATACCTATAATTACGAAACCAGCGCTTATGTGCGTTCAGGATGATTTGTATAGCCCACGGCCGACCCGCAATGGTATCGGAGACTCTTGCCTTTAGTGCCATTAAAATAGAACGGCGTACTTCTGTCACGGAACAAGGATAATGGAG